GCTGAGTCTTGGGCTGAGCTCAGATTCAAAAGTTAGAGTTCCCTCACCTGATCCATTGTTATTATTGTCATTTATCCTTCTCGAAGAGGACCCATGACACAGGGAGGTGATGCCATGACATGCAAGTGAATTGGATTTAAGTGAGGTAGAGCTGTGCAAAGTCACCAGCTTCATCTTCTCCCCTGGGGTCATCTGGGTCCAGTAGGGATACATAAATCAGGACAACTGCTAATTGCCCTGGATGGAGTGGGAAACCTTGACCTTTGAAGCTTAGGTCTTCAACAGGTCTGAGTCTGACTGAGGCAATCCCTCAATCAGAGATCAAGGCTAACTAAGAAATGAGGCAAGACAATGGCCTCTTTACTTAGTCCAAAAAAGAAAGATCAGTCTGGGAGGGGAAGACTCTCAGGGTTTCCGACTGGCCAATCCATGAAGGCCAGAGTGATTTAGGTTTAAGGCATAGTTTTTAAGAAAAAAAATGAATTCAGTGATCAAAATTTACAGTCCTTTGGGCAGAACACCTGCAGGTGCTGGTATGATATCATATTTGGACAGAGGGAAGGGGTGGGGAAAGGGAGAAAGACAGAGAGAGAGAGAGAGAAAAGGAAGAAAAGAAGGAGACAGAGAGACAGACAGACAGACATTAGTCAAAAAGGGAAAAATTAAGTCCCAGTTTTCTCCCAGGATTGTTACAGTACGATAGCTCCCAACATCTAAACCATACCTGTCTGAGTGCTGCACCCCTTAAACTGGTTGGGGGCCACATTTGGGAGGGGAAAAAAAGCAGATACCAGATAAGTACCTAGGAAAGGATAATATGTCCTGGCTATAATTTAAAGACAAAATAATACCTATTGAGGCTTCATCTATAAGATCCCTTCCATATTCCAAACACTGAGAGAAGTAATTCCTTTCTCCTAGATGAGATTTCTAGGAATCTCTATCTCTGTGACAAATGTTTGAAGTTACTCACCAGTGCGATCCGTGCTGCGAAAGCAGTGGCCAGAGTTGTGTGCAGGTATGTGAGTGTTTGACTATGTGTATGTGCATATTTGTATTTATGTGTTTTGTGGGGATAGGCAGTGCTGGAGTTAGAGGCACAGCCTTTACTGAGTTCATCTTCCCCAAGAGCCGCAATTACCATGTCACCTCAAAAACTAATGTTGGCAGAAGGAGAATATGTCTGAAGAATAAACAACCCTTTGCCTCTGGTCAAAAGACACATCAGCAGGTAAAAGTAATTAATTAGGATCTCTAAAGGAACAGCTCCTGACATTTGAGAGAGAAACTTTTTTTTCCTTCTGCCTGATAATAAGAAAGGCAGAATAAAACCTTTTCGAAGTCACTGGAACAAAGGAGGTAGTGATCTCTGAGCACTGATATATACATGAGTGTCCCAATTTCTGAAATCTAGAGATCCTTGAGATTTTTCTAAAAAATAAGACTCTGTTTTTACTATGAATAATTGTATTTAATTTGCCCTGCATTTTAGAGACATAGTATTTGGTAGTCACAACAATCACGTAAAATTATTACTTTTATTATCTGTAGATGGAAAATGATGATTTTTTTAGGAGTTTGTTTAAAAAAAAAACTGGATGATACATTGAGGGAATTGTAGAACCAGCTGTATTGTATGTGTTTCTGTGTGTATGAGTATATTTTTTTCTTTTTCTTTCTTTTTAAGATATGGAGACATGATAGTAGTCAACAGTATATAGTAGATACAGAGTACAAGGTAGACTAATTTTTCTAATAACTCTATCTACCCTGTACTCTGTATAGGCCTATCTATTCTGGACCCGTACAACTTGTATACTTCTTCAGACTTCAGACAGGTTAGGCTAGGGATAGGCAGACAATGGTTGGTTGCTGTGGGTCACATGACAGCTTCCTGAAATCCTTTGGCAGGCGGCTTGATGTGCAGCCTGATCTGCACTGTAATGAGGAAAAGAAGACTGAGAGAGCCTAAATGACTTGATCCTGGATTTGGAGATAATAAATGACTTTATTTGAACTCAAGTTTATTGACTTAAAGGATTCTATCCACTCTACCATTTGGCTATCTGTTGAGTGTCTGAGGTATACAACACGACGTATTCTTTCTTGAATTAGCCCTGTCTTTGCTGGGGGCAGGTTGTACCTGATCCAAAAGACAGGTTTCATATCCCTGAAACAAGAAGCATTATATTTAAAAGCATCCATCACATTGCTTAGTCAAGAACAGAAAGTTGAAATAAAGTGTGGGTTAAATTATGAGCAACAGGTCTCATACGTGATCGGTTCCTAATGGGTCCTGTTGACAGCAGGATGAGAGAATGTGTCTTGCATCAGTGGAGCAGCACCTGCTTGATTCAAATTGGCATTTTCACTGAAAATGTTAGAGTCATATCGAGTGATCTTCAGATATGGCAGAACGTGGGATGAAGAAGATATTGCCTTTGATCAACAAAGCAAGAAGGAAGAAAATTACCAGTTTGCAAACTTACAAGTAGTGGCCATTATTGTAAGATGTGTCTACCGAGTTCATTTTTCTTTACCTTCGTTCTCTTTCCTTAGAGCTGTTCGACAAAACCAATCTTCTTTCCATTCTCTGCCAGATAGAGGGATGATTCCGTTTCTATTTTTTCAAATTTAATTTTAATTGCATATGTGCACAAGTAGAGTTTGTCTTGCTCTTCTTCAAGATTCTGGACATTTACTCATGGACAGAAAGCTGTTCCTCTGGTATAAAAAAAAATAGATAATAGTAGTCTTGGTGGTGGTGTTCTTGCTATATATTGGCTCCTGTGGACTAAGTGATCTAAAGCATGTACTCAAGACCTCATTTTAATATAACCCACCTCCCACTATGTCAGTCAATCACAGTTGATTGGCAACCCTTGGGAACATCCACTCTTTGAAGGGCATATAACGCTGTACCCCCAAAGTCCCAAATCTAGCTATTCTGAACTGCCCCCTTAGGGGGGGCCCAGTTTTGGATGAACATCCATGCAACGCACATCGAGCAAGCTTGAGAGAAATTAAACTGTGGACATATGTGCCCCAAGTTTGTTTGTCTTTTTCTTAGAACAGGCTCTGTAATAAATTGGGGTTCACAGTACACATATGCATATATATATATATATATATATATGTGTGTGTACATATATATATATATACACACACACACACACACATATATCATATACATATATATATATATATATGCAAGAAAAATAATGTGAGAAGACTATTTCAATTTGCACTCTGAGCTCATCCATCCTCTCTCTGGATGTTGTTAGCATTTTTTCATTGTGAGTCTTCAGAATTATGTTGGCTCATTGTATTGATCATAGCAGCCAAGTCATACAGTTGATCATTATTACCATATTACTCTTACTGTGGACAATGATCTTCTGCTTCTTCTCACTTCATTTTGTATCAGTTCATATAGATCTTGCCATTTTTTTCTGAAATCACTTCCCTTGTCATTTCTCATAACATAATAGTACTCCATCACAATCATATGCTAAAAAATTGTTTAGTCATTCCCCAATTAATGACCATCCCCTCAATTTTCCATTTTTTTGCCACCAAAAATGACCTGCTATAAATATTTTTGTACATAGAAGTCCTTTTTCTTTTTCTTTTATCTCGTTGTGATCAGGTAAATGATCCCCAAGATTTTGTGATGACAAATCATCATTTATTTTTCTTGCAAATAAAAATTGCATACACAGCCAAAGCAATCTGAGGAAAAACATATGGTTATGGGCATTAAGACTATTTAAATTGCAGAGATTTCCAAGTAGGATTTCATATTCTTTTCATTGGAAATAGGAGAAGTAAGAAAGTTGCCATGTTTGGTAATTTGGGATATTTCATTTTAAAAGTGCATTCTTAAGTGTCTGGAAGAAATTAGGTATAAACAATATAGCTAGATAAATTATAAATGTATTATATAATGTAGACATGAAAGGATAAATTTAAATTAAAAGAGCGAGGAAGAAATCATCTGTATTATTTTTTCTAGAATTTACGTAAATACTTTAGAGCTTACAAAGGACTTTAGAAATATTCATTTTTGTCAAAAAACACTTTGACAAACGCAAATAATTCCCCCTTTTACAGATGAAGAAACTGAGGAAGACAGCACATACAGTTGGAAAAATGGTGCCGATAGATTTAACACAAGGTTGTCATGAATCTTAAATCTGTAAAAATCACACGGAGCTTATACCTGGATTTTAATGTTAGGAAACATAAGAATTCCAGGGAAACTGGAACTTTAAGTACGTGGAAATGATAAAAGTGTGAGAAGACTAAAAGCATTTGAAATGGTAAAGCTGTGAGGGGTTTATGCCAGAATGTGTGTGTGTGTATATATATATATATGTATATATATATACACATATATATATATTTTTTTGTCATGGTAATATTAAGTATCCAAAAGAGTTTATTAAGTTAGGGTGGGAGGAGTGGAAGCCAAGGTTACAAGACAAAACAAGATTAGAAGATGATTTCTTAGGAATAGGTAATGAGTTCTCTTTTCCGCATGTTGAGGTTTAGAAGGCCAAGAGACATTGGGTGATTTTAGATTCTGCATTATAAAAGAGGATACAGTGGGATATATAGACTTAGCAATCATCTACATAGAAATGACAATTTCATTCACTCAATACATTAAGCAATAAATTTATTAAATTGTCTGCCCCAGGCAATCTCCTAATCACCGGGGACACCAAAAGGGGCAAAAAGGAGACTGTCCACATGGAGCTTATAATCAAATGGGTGAGACAACATGCAAATAAAATATATACAAAGGAAGATATAAAAAGGAAAAATAAATGATTAGAGATGGGGAAGCACTGGAATTAAGAGGGGTTGGGAATAGATAAATGGGTAATTTTGATTACATGAAATTACAAAATTTTTGCAAAAACAAAACTAATGCAGCCAAAATTAGGAGGAAACCAAGAAATTAGAGGGAAAATTTTACAGAAAATTTCCCTGACAAAACCTCATTTTTCTTTTTTTTTTTAAACAGTAACTCAGATTTATTTGTAGCTTAGCATATGGGGTCGATAAGCAAGGATATCAGCTGAAAGCACACAGAAGATCCTTCCCCCTTATGAGTGGAATGCACGCCACTTGTCCAGCGGACCACAGCTGGGGATGTATTTGACCCCACAGCCATCAGGAATAAGACGTTTCTCAGCCACCATGTCCTCCAGTTCATCTGCATTAAACTTTGTGAAGCCCCACTTCTTTGAGATGTGGATCTTCTGGCGACCCGGGAACTTAAATTTAGCCCTGCGCAAAGCCTCAATCACATGCTCCTTGTTCTGGATCTTGGTGCGAACAGACATGATCACCTGTCCTATATGAACACGAGCCACGGTACCCTGAGGTTTCCCAAAGGCCCCCCGCATGCCCGTCTGGAGCCTGTCAGCGCCGGCGCAAGACAACATTTTGTTGATTCGAATAACGTGGAAAGGGTGCAGGCGTACACGGAGGTGGAAGCCATCTTTGCCACAACTCTTCGCCATGTATTTGTTGGCACAGATCCTCGCGGCCTCCAAGGCTTCGGAAGACAGTTGTTCGTATTCATCAGACACCATGTGACCACAGAGCGGAAATTCATCCACTTTTGCCTTTTTTCGACCTAGGTCAAAAATCCGGATCTTTGCATCAGGAACGCCTCGGCAGAAACGTGATTTGGGATACGGTTTGTTCTTACAGTATCTGTAACAACGTGCCGGGCGACGACCCATAGTCAAAGCAGACGAGGAAAGTTCGGCGCCTGCGCAGTCCTGAAGCACGCACCCGTTGAGACACGTTTTCGGAGGCGGAGCTTCTGGCTCCGTGGTCGCCGGCGGCTTCCCCAGTGCGCTGGACTTCTGCCACGTGGTCCCAGATCAGGAGTTCGGTTGGGAAGGCCTCAGCTCCCCGAGAGCGCGGAAATGCGGGGGGAGCGCTCTTCCCGGGATGTCTTACCTCGCCCCCTCCCAAGTCTAGATCGCGCCCCACGGAGGGTTGCCGAATTGTTAGGAATAGGCTTGACACCAAAACTTTAGCATCAAGAGAATTTATTACAAAGAAAGTCCAGAGGATTTAGACGCTTCTGGCCAGAAGCGGGCCCCACCCCCCTTCAGGAGGGGTGGGCCTAAAACCTCATTTCTTCAGTGTATGAGGGAACTGAGCAAAAGTTATAAAGAGAGCCTTTCCCCGGTTACAGAAATTCAAATGAAAACATGTCTGAGATACTGCCTCATCTCTATCAAATTGGTTAACGTGACAAAAAAAGGAATATACAAGTATTAGAGACGATGTGGAAAAATTAGGACACTGATGCACTGTTAGTGAAGTCGTATATTAGCCCGACGGTTCTGGAGAGCAAGTCAGAGCAGAGAGTTATAAAACTGTGTGGACCTGGTCCAGAGATACTCCTACTAGGCTTCTATCTCAAAGAGATAAAAGGAAAAAGGACTTATTTTTACATCATATTTATAGCAGCCTTTTGCGGTGGCAAGGACGTAGAAAATAAGGGTATGTCCATCACTTGGGGAATGGAATAATAAGTTGTGATATGTGTGTTGGTGGAACAAACACTATTACCCCAAAAAAAAAGTATGGCTTCAGAAAAACCTGAGAAGATTTATATAAACTGATGCAAAGTTACAGGAACAAAACCAGAACGTTATACACAGAAACACCAATATTTTAATGATGATGAATGTGAAAGACTTAGTTATTCTGTTACAGATGACGATCCAAAACAATTCTGAAGGATCCGTTGTGAATACGCTATGAATCTCTAGAGAAAGAACAGATAAACTCTGATTACACATAAAAGCATTCTTTTTTTCATTTATTTTATTTTTCTTAGTTTAATGGGTGTATTTCCTTTTGCAACATGGATAATATAAAGTATATTTTGAATAACTTCACAAGTTTCAGCACTATCATATTTCTTGCCTTCTCAAGGGGTGGTGTAGCAGTAGAAAGGAAGAAAAAATTTGATATTCAAATTAAGAAAAATGAATGTTAAAATTTTCATATAATTGGGAAATATTTAATGAAATTAATAAAGTATGCAATTTAATTTTAATTAAAATTAAAAATACATTATTACTTTATTTTAGCAGTCTTTTCATTTGAAATTTTGAATTCCAAATTATATTTCTTCCTCAAACCTCCTCCCCTAGCCACTGAGAAGGCAGGGATATTACATTGATTATGCACATGAAATCGTGGAAAACACTTCCACATAAGTCATATTTCCCCCAAAAGACAAAAAAAGACCCAAAACATATGAGAATATTATATTTCAACTTTGACTCAGAGTTTATCAGTTGTTTCTCTGGAGGTGGGTAGGACTTTGTCATCATGATTCCTTTGGAATTGTCTTGGATCATTGTATTCACAGTGTAACCAAGTCTTCCACAACTGATTATGATTATGATTAATGTCACTGTGCACGATGATCTCCCCATTCTCATTTTATTTTGTGTCAGTTTATATAAGTTTTGCCATTTTTCTGAAACTATACTCCTCATTTCCTACAGCACAATAACATTGCATTACAATCATATATCACAACTCATTGAGGCATTCCCTGATTGATGAGTATTACTTCAATTTCCAGATCTGTGCCACCACAAAAGAGCTGCTATTCAGAAAAACCTGGAAAGACTTACACAAACTGCTGCAAAGTAAAATGAATAGAACCAGGAGAACATTGTGCACAGTAATAGCAATGAACACCTCTGAAAAACTTAACTATTCTGAACAATACAATGATCCAAGACAATCCCAAAGGTCTCACAATAACAAAATGCTATCCACCTCCAGAGAACTGACAGATTCTGAATGAAGATCAACATACAATAATTTTCACTCCATTTTTTCCTGTTTTGTTTTGTTTTTGGTCTATCTTCTTTCACAACATGACTAAAATGGAAATATGTTTTGCATTATTCCATATGTATAAGCTATATCAAATTACTTAAAGTCTCCAGAAAAGGCAAGGAAAGGGAGAGAGGGAGAGAATTTGGAATACAAAATTTAAAAAAAATTGTTTTTACATGTAATTGGAGGAAAATTCAAAACCTATTCAAGATCTCTAGAAAAAATATGTTGGAAATTCTATTTAAAATATATATATAATTAACCATTAAAGACAACATGGTATATAGATGATTCAAAAAATCTTGGAGCTAAGAAAAACTGAATTTAAGGCCCTTCTCTGAAATATATTTGTTATGTTTCTTTGGACCAGTATATGTTTATATGTCCATATACATATGTCTACTTCATACATGTATATGAATATATGTATATTCATGTGCATTTAGGTATATGAAAAAGGAAGAATGAAGAGAATGAGCATTTATATAGTTCCAATGATCTGTCAGGCACTATGGTAACTGCTATTTACAAATATTATCTCATTTAATCCTCACAACAATCTGTATGGTAGGTGTTATTATTGTCCACATGTTAAGTCAAAGAAATTAAAGCAAATAGAAGTTGAGATGAGTTATACAGGCAGTAAGTGTAAGTAAAATTCGAACTCTTAGAGTCTTTCTAAGTCCAGGCCTCACAATTTATCCATTATACCATCAACTCATATAAGTATGTATATATTTATATGTGGGTATATGAACATTTTTGTGGGTATATGTACGTGTACATATTGTTTTTCTCCATCAGTTCATTTAAATAATAAATTGGTATTCATTTGTAAAGAGGATCTTGGGTTCTCTTTACTTCTTTTCCTGATCTACCTACTACAACTACATGCAATTCTGTGCGTGTGTGTGTGTGTTGTGTGTATGTGTGTGTGTGCGTATAAAAATGTCTAGATATAAACCTATCTAACACAGAGGTTGACTATGACATTATTTCTAAATTTGTGAAATTAGTTGGGTTTCTTTTATAGATATTATTTGAGGCAGCTACATGGCTCAGGTAATAGCTTAAAGATTATTTCTTCTGTATATCCATAATGGATGGTTTTTGTGTTTTGCTTTGACCTGTGTTTACATTGCTGTAACAACAATTGAGGAAGAGCTTCCTCTATAATTGTACAGTGTCCTGACCTGGGAGGCCAACTAATTCACCAGTTATCAATATATGATGGTGATGAATTGTTTTTACTGAGCCCTGACCGCTGTAAGAGGCTGCTTTGTAAACAGGTAAATTGCTTAGTTTCTCTTCAATTAAGTATAGAGAAACTTTGTTTGTTTGCTGTCTTATATTTCTCATAAATACTAAGATTTCTTAAGAGGACTCTATCGTCTTTGTAAAGTTCTGACAATGAACACAAATATCATAGGAACATTTATTTATACATCATAGGAGCATTCCTTTCGTTGATGACATCACTAGGTAGTGTCCTTCAATTTTTCTCAACTAACAGGCATCCCAGCTTTGAATATCTGTAGTCTCTCTTTCCTCAGACACCTTATAACATATGTCAAAAGATATTTGTGACTTTAGTTCAATCATCAATAGGTAGGATATAAAACCATTGATGTCATTCCCAGTACAATTCTATATATGTACCACAAAAGACACGTACTGGCTCCAGTGAAATTCATCTTCTGGTCGCAGTGTCCCTAACACACTCGACAGAGCTGGATTAAAGATTTCCAGTTATGGATCACCTTCTGAATAATAGGGTGCTATTCCAAGCTATTGAATATGAACCAGAACCAATATCTCTTTGAACGTTGTACTTTGAGAGACTGTACCTTTTTATGACTAGATCCTGAAAGGAAGTCCATACACTAAGAAATACTTTTCTCATAATACTTCGGCAAATGCAGAGGCCTTTAGGTTCATTGCTGGCTATGATTGGGCATACTAGGTAATAAGATCCATCACTCCTGACTTCAGTTCTTTTTCTTTCGAGAAATAGGAAGACAATTCAGAGAAGTTTCAAAAATGTGATAATACTAAATAATCAGCATGAGCCAATACTACTTTTGTTTGTACAGAAGAGATGCAATAGCCTGGTTCTTAGTGACTAGCTTTCTTTGGCAGTAAAAGTTTCATACTAATTCTACAATTCTTTCTTAATCCCTATGTCCAACACCATCATGTTTTCATAGTCACAGCTTTCGGAGTCAAAGAGTGATATATATGCCCTGGGTAGCACCAACTATTTCCTGCTACCAATTATAGGATAAGAAATGTTCTGGTATAGAAGAGTACTCTGTTGTACAGTTTCAACTCCTGCCACTGTCTCTATAGTAAAGAGATTTCAAAAGACAGGCAAAAGTGCTTTGCAGTGTTCACCTCCCTTCTCTTCTTGTATTTCTTCACATAGCCTTTAGTTAACCATTTACTCTCCTCCTTAATCATCCAACAATAACTTAGGTAAAGAACATTTGATCAATAAAACAAAATTCACATATGTTCTTGGCATGCAGCCTGGAGTATAAACTAGTGTGCTTTTTAGATTGCAGCTTATTCTACATGTTTTACTTGCAAGACCTTGGAGATAGCAGGTTAATTGCAACTTCTTAGCTTTTTCTATTACATTTCTGTCCTATATTGATCAGCAAACAAACAATTAAAACTTACTGTTGCCTCAAAGTTATAGGGAGGAAAGCACTTTTGTAAAATTTAAATAGCTGCAAAAATGCATCTATTGTTATTCATGAGTGTGACTATATTTCATTCTGGGACTTTACATAACAGGGTCTGCAACGTTTCTCAGTTCTTTACCTGTTATATTGCACGTTTTAGTGATTGGGTGACTGTT